AACGTTGGATGAATACTCCACGGCTAGGACAACTTTCCTTTTATAAGTGGCACCACCTGTTTGGCACCATTGAGCTACGCCACACACAGACCACTCGAAGTGCAACTCAAAATAACGAAACAGCTAGCCTCAACACTCACCACAAAGATCAAAATGGCGGCCAGGGGTCGACTTGGCTACGAACAGCTATAAAACCATCTAGGTGGCACTAGTTGAGCACCACTTTTCTTCATGACAAAAATGGCGCGTTTTTCAAAATCTTTAAATCTAAGCCGACCCTCGAGTTTGATACAAAGAAACTTGAAAAAAATATCGACCTAGATTCGAATAAATATGGTAAATGCAGCCCAGGGCCCCTGCTAATCCTTCCAGGAGCCAAGCCTAGATGAAGTTGGAAAGTTAGTGCCATCCAGTGTCACCTGGATCACGAAAACTCATCTGAACTTTCAATGACCAGTTGATGCAAAAGATGCCAAACAAATGCTCACAACCAAATTCCCAGCACTTACCCCCGTATTCAAGAACCTAACTTAACCTTATACTTATGACTTAAGTCAACCTAAGCCATAAGTCCACCCTTAACGCGTTTCAAGAACCTACCTTGTACTTATTGCGGAACTTTCCTCGTACTTAAGTAAGGCTCGGTTAAGGTAGCCTATGACTTACCTTAAGGCTTCCTTAACATGACGGGGGACGACAACTTTGCATATTTCGTTTATTATGTGAACCGCAAGGAAGAATTATTGAACGGCACAGCATACGCGTACAGCCGCGGCGAGTCCTTAACGATCAACGGAACCTGGTTGAGACCTACGACAAGCAGGAATTTCTGTGCCAGCCCCGCTTTACATAAAGTGCTATGAAGAATCTGCTCGCTGTGCTGTTTCTGCAAGAAAATATCCATCCATGGTCATGGGTTCGTTGTGCCCCGTCTCTTGCAGCTGCTAATCGCATCGCACTTTTATGGAGTTGGCATGTTTCAACTTGGGAGCGATGGCCTTGTCAGTGTCTTGTAGCCGACTGTGTCAGGAATATACAGTCAAGCGGATACACGCTATGCTTGCAAGAAAACTTTCTCCCGTACTGGTAAAACTACTCGAAGTGGCATAAACACTTTTCTAGTTGTTATGTCAGCCGTTCCCAGATGCACAATGGGTCGGCTGTTGAATTCCATCGCGAGCTGCTTCGTTTTCTCTGAAGGCACTCGACGTCCGTCTTGGGACTTGTTCACGAAATCCATCAGGACGTAGTCACTTAGGCGGTGAAGTTATCTTCAGTGCACCGTTGCACAATAAATGCAACTTCGTAAAAAGAGCTGTAAAACGGCTGACACTGTCAAATAAATCTAATGAAATAAAAAAAAATGTGAAAGAAAACAGCAAATGCTGAAGCGAGCACGACAACACCATCGAACACAGCAAAAACATACAAGACATCGAAATAACAAAAGTGACCCGTGTCGACGGGAGTTGCAGGAAAGTGGCCATACGAAAAACGTGTATTTTGCCAAAAGCTGCTGGTGCCTAAACAAACATTGCTACTGTTTAAGTTGGTTTCTTGCAGTGAAGCTAATTTATTGCTGCTCGAGGTAATGATTTTATAGCAAAAATTTACCTACCCTCGCACCCAGGTGCTATACTTGACGAGTTAAGGGAGCCTTATGAAAGGCACCCTTATGACAGGATAAGGGAGGCTTCTGAAGCTCACCTTTTACTTTCATTATACTTTTCTCATCCTTTCATAAGTAGCCTTACCGAAATAAGTTAAGGTCGGTTCATGAATACGCGGTTTCTCGCAACTTAGTTTAACCTGTCTCTGGAAAATTGCCAGCTCTATACTCTTTAGAGAGCCAGTAAGGTAACTGCATCCACTTTGAGAAACCTCACTAACATTCTTTGGAAAGCAATGCTGTCAACATATTTTTGTGGAGTTGTGTGGGGTGGCATTGTTTCGAATGTTCATGGGCTTTGAGTGTTCGCACAATTGAGCTTTTCTCAAAGAATAGTGTATGAATGTCTATGCATTGCATCCTCAACAGGTAGTAGCCTGCAACTCTAGCTTAGTGGCGGCCATGCATAGCAGGTTCTTCAGTTTATTAAGACTGAAGCTTTCATATGGTGCGATTAGGCCACATAACTCAGCAACCAATCTCTAGCCCATCTATGAAGCAATTCTACTCTATTTTTAGAAGTCCCTCGGAAAGCTTTCAACTTTTTAATTTACAGCAAAATGTAAATCTTTTCCTTTTTTTTGACACAGCCACCACTGTAGATGTCACAGAAGGCATTTAGCACTAATGTGCATTTCATAATTTGCTGTGTCTAATGGGTAAAATCTCTTCTGCAGCTTTTACTGAAGCATTGTGCAATGCCGTCCCAACATGACATTTATAGAACAGACCCCACTTCTTCGTCTTTCAGTCAACACCACACACGATTTCACACATCTAGTGTTGTGCGTGACTAGAATGACCTCCTCTAAAGGACAAAGTTTGATCTGGACAAACTAAACTGCTGCAAGTGGCATTTTGTGGAGACAACAGTTAAAGACTCATTGACAGATTTATTCATGCTCAGTACTTCATGGCTTCAAATAGAGAAGCATTCTGTTCAACAGTTTGAGGTCACAGGTCACCATAACTCACATTTTTATGTGGTTTAGATAAGCTGTGTTGTGCAAGTTTTTCTTCGTCAGCAATTTTCAGGCTGAAAACAGCCTAATTACAGTTCATATGCACACGTGTTGGCAGCGAGTATGCCCTGGCCCATTAATGATGAATGTCCCACTCTATAGTCAAAGGTCCTGACAGAATCTCGTCTACTTGGGGACGAACCCATGACATAATTAAACGAAAATGCCGGACAAGGTAAAATGCACAAGAATTAAAAAAGACATTTCGGCCTTCCTTATCCCTATCTGATGGTGAACAAGTCTCCAGTGCAGGAAGCTGAAAAGTCTTTTTTCATTCTGTGCATTTTACCTAGGTCAGCGTTTAGGTTTTATCCTAGAATGTTGCACTCACAGTTGTGTTGAGAACCAAATATTGAGAGCCCAAGGGTGCACCACTGAAGCCGTAAACATTATGCTAACATTAATGATGATTGATTTGTGGGGTTTAACGTACCAAAACCACCATATGACTATGAGAGACGCCGTAGAGGAGGGTTCCGAAAATTTTGACCACCTGGGGTTCTTTAACGTGCACCCAAATCTGAGCACACGGGCCTACAGCATTTCCACCTCCATCGAAAATGCAGCCGCCGCAGCTAGGATTTGAACCCGCGACCTGCAAGTCAGCAGCCGAGTACCTTAGCCACTAGACCACCGCGGTGGGGCTATGCTAACATTAATGACATCAACCATCGATGCAAATGAGCTCACTTCTGCCAGCACTTTTATTCCATCCAGATGAAATAATAACCACAGCGATTCACAACATCTGGATGGGACAATCAGCACAGCAAATAAAGTTAGCTTCAAAAACATGCAAAAAATGAAAATTTTCCCTGAAATAATAAATGCCAAAAGCTTCAACCCTAATCACACACTGGCACTGAAGTTTCGAAAAGTTAAAAAAAAAAAAACTGCCGTATTTACTCGATTCTACCGCGCCCTCGATTGCAACGCACACCCGGTTTCCACGACCAAAAAAAAAAAAGAAAAAAGTAAGACATCGATTGCAACGCGCACCCATTTTTCTCCATGGCCCACACGATCACACCACTCGGGAAAAAGGCTCCTTTCGGGAGCGTCTTCCGTTTAAATATGAGGTACGGGGGAAGCTTGTGCCTATCTGACGAGCAACGGAGCATTGCCGTCACTCTAGTTTTACCATGGCCTGATGTCGGCACGCGAACTTGCTTCGCCCCCTTCTTCTCGACGGTTGTGGTGCCAGGCATGTCGAAGTAAAGAGGCGTCTGATCGGCATTCCCGATTTGCCCAAGCAGGAAGCCTTTGTTGTGCCGCAAGTTTAGGACGAACCTCTGAAAACTGAAACTTTTCTTCCTACTCCTCCGGCAACTTTTGGCATATGCCCGTTTGCCTTCAGAGGGAAAAGCCTTTCCTCTTCATAAAGTTAGTTAGCCAGCACCTGCTCGCTTTAAACTGGCTCCGCATTAGCCCTTTTTCTAAGGCTAACTGCATAGCCTGCACTTGGAGCAGTTCTGTCGTCACGGGCCGCTGTGCCGCTCGCTGCTCAATCACATACTTGCCGAGCAGCTCTTCAATTTGCAGAAACCGACCCTGCTGTGGTCCGCTGAAGCCTTTGCGTGAATCTTTGTTGTCGACAATCTTCTGCTTTTGTTTCCGCAGTCCCGCACGCACGTTTCGGGAACTCCGAACGACCGCGAAGCAGCCCGATTTACGTCCGTTTCGGCACACGCGATGACTTTTCTTTTAAAAGCGGCATCGTGGTGCACTCGTCGAGTTTTTGGAGTCGGCCCTTCCATGCCGTCGATGCTAATGCACACCAAGATGACGAACTCCTCAGCACACGTAAGAAGTGCCGCACATGCGAAACACATTGGCAGAAATGACCGACACGCCATGCCGGCGCACGTAGGGGGCGGCCATTTTGGAATGCCGATGGCAATAGAATGACCGTATTCATTTTTTTTTTTTCGTACTCGATTCTAACGCGCATGCGATTTATGAACTCGCTTAACCGAAAAACAGGTGCGCGTTAGATTCGAGTAATTACGGTAAATCACTCTCTCTTGTAACAGTCATAATCACAGGTTATTACCAAAATTTTCACATGACAAATATTCAGTCTATAAAGTTTTATTCAGTGTTTTGCATTAGCATTCCTTCGAACAAAATTTCGAAGTGTACGCAAGGCCATTTTCTCTCATTCAGAAAACTCACACGGTACATATGCCCTAATTTGATGCTGATTGCTACCATGAGGTTAAAACCTTTCTGGAATGGGACACAGCTACTATGACTTGTATGAGATTTTGGTAGCAAAGTAAGAACATGGTAGAAGCAATATTGCTTACCTCTGCGTCGTTGGAGACATTGTTGATGGCTCCTATTCTCAGTTTATCCCTATCTGATCCTTCCTTTTCTGCCTGAGAATCCTGTAACGATCAAAGCACATATTTTGCAACTTGTGACAGTGCTAACGTAAATCGATCATGGAAGTTTCTCATTACTCATAGGTTAACAAAAACAACTTTAAAAAGTTGTCGCAATCACATGACATGAATTTGCCTTGGCTGCCCACCTTGATCACCATTGATCCATGTCATTTTCTCTCCGTTAGGAAAGCAAAGTGCTAGAGCTGTGTGAATAGTAAAATATAGGGGGCGAAGCGAGTTCAAATACTGAAGTGGGAGCGTGGATCGGATCAAATATTTTTCAATATTTCAAGAATATTTTTTAATAGCTTGAAGCAATATTGAAGAAAAAGTTGGAGAGGATTCCAAAGCATACTCTTAAAGGGGCCCTAAAAACACTTTTTCAAGTAAACATTGAATGAGTTCACTGGATGAGCTAATTGCCTCATGAATTCAACAATGCATAAATTTTAAGAATCCGTCCAGTGCAAGTGGAGTTACAAAGGTTTGTTGCATGCTGCAATTGCATTCTCTCTTCTTTCGTCCTGACCAAAGCGCTGGAAGCTAAGCATGGATGGATGGCAGGTCCACAGAAAAATGTCACGTGCACCCCGTGACCTTGAGCACTTTTTATCTCCTTTTTTTTTTTTTGTTCGAATGAGTGACTTTCTCAGAGTGATCACGTGCGGACAAGTAGCGGCCTCCCGCGGCGATCTCAATAACGAGCGAGCGCGCCATGTTCAAATCAGCCAATGGCTGATAGATGGGCTTGCTACGTGTGATTTTTGGGTATATTCCGTGAGTTGTAGAGAGAAGAGAAAGTCATTTTTAGCTGACTTTGATAATTTATTGTGAATTCCAGGCCGCGTGCTGAGCTATAATATTTGGCTCGTGTTTTGTCGGGAGCCCCTACTACCGATCGGCAGCGTTTTCTGACCATGCTCAAAAAGTGTTGCAGGGCCCCTTTAAGAGCTATCAACATGAAAGTATTTCTTTTGGCTAGTTTTATGCAGTGCTGGCAGGGTGGTGTTCCATAACTGTTAACAACAATGAGGTAAAGCAGAGGTCAAACTGCATTATGCACAATTTAAAAGCAAAGATGCTATTTCCTCAGCCTATACTCCTCTTTTAACTTCCGTGAAAGTAGACAAGAATGTGCTCCCTTTAAGTGCAGAGTTACAAATCTGCCTTGTAGGCATCAATATATAAAACGTCTGAAATTTAAACGGTAAAACTCTTCAGTGTTCTATTTTTTTGAACTTCCTGCCTAAATTTCCAGTCCAAAACTACATTAATTGAACCACCACCTCTGCCACATCAATCACCTCTTGTTCGAACCCTCATTTTCTCGAGTCAATACAGTTGCGACCACAGCAGAGCCTGACAGACAGCTCTGTCGCAATAAGAGTGTGACGGTGTGAAGAACATACAAAATCTAAAGCATCCACGGCCAATCGAAAATTGACTGTGTCTTTGAGAAGTTCGAATAGTAAAATTACAGCGTGAATTGAAGCAAATAGAAAACACCATTAGAAAGATATTGGAAATTTTTAATATTTGTACATGACTACAAAAACAAACGTAAATGTCACCTATGACTCAACATCAAGTTTAGGCGACGCTATGACACTGTTATAGAAATCGATTGTTTGATGTTTTCAGGCTTATAAGTAGGGCACCAAGGTGGAAAAGCATGTTGTCCTGAAATTAAGAAAGGTGCATTTGCAGTCATCAACCCAGTACAATTGTGATGATACAATCTGTTGAATAAAAAGACACACACTTTTGCTGCCAAGTATTGTTTCCCAAGGCCTAGCAGTGTCACGATGTACAGTACTCAGAGATTGAAAGAGGACAATTTTACGGCAAAGTAAAGCACCTGCTTTCGTTTCCACCGTCTTCAGTACAGGTCGTACCGACGTAATTTAAAACCAAACCAATGGATCAGAGGCAACATTATATTTAGAGACCAGATTTGTCGCAACATAATGAGATTATCTCGAGCAATCATGCCTACCAGTCGTTACACTAAAATACTTGATGTCGCATTTGAATCTGTGAGTACTACGCAAAACATGAAAACATTGTTGAAGCGATGGCCAATTTCGCCATTTATTTCTTGCAGCCACAATGATAAGATACTGTGCCTGGGCGAAGGAAAAGTTTGACAAAGTCCAGGCCAGCTCCTAAGCATGCTGCTAATTTCTTTATTCTGTTGAATTTCATGAGATGTCTAAATCTAAAGCTAAGAACAGAGAAATGGATATATTTTTTGTGCTTTCAGTTTTTTATGTACACCAGAAAACTCATTTCTGGCCTTTTTTTATCATTACTATTATTATTACTACTGTGCTCTGAATAGACTGACAACACTTCGTGGGCCCTGGCGGAAAGCACCTGCACAGATCTCTCGACGACGTACCTGGCCACCAATGTTATCCCCTTCTAGGTACACAACGCCTGTCGATCTCCGCTTTGGTCGCCTTCGCCTTGAAATCGCCGACTGCGCATTAGTCTTCGTGTCGTCCTTGTCTCCATCACCCACTGAATGCAAAAAACAAAACAGATAATTGTACTACAAGACGCAAACAACGCATATTTTCAATCAGTAAGCAGCAGTACTAACAATGGCAACTTCAATAAGTCTTCCTTATGGGGGCACGCAAATAATACGGTTTTGTTTAATGAGGCAACACACAGGTAATACGGCCGCACACAGATATTGTAACAGAAGTGTTACTGTAACTCAAGAGTTGAATGAAAGACTAGCTCGATTAGCTTCATATCCAATAAAGCCTCACACGACCTGCTTGACTCGCATATTTGTCTAAGACATCTGAAAGACATCCAAGTGACGACACTATGTAAACTTCCGGATTGCGCTGACAAGAGTGGAGAACGCACCTTCCCTGGTGGTGATGGCCGTGTCGTCTACAATGCCCCGTGGTCGAATAGGTAAGGTGACAGTGTGGCTGATGTCGGAGCCCACGGTGGCGGTCACTCCCCTCGGAGCTCGCGTCCTGGGCATGGAGAAGGTCACCACGGGGGTGGTTTCGGGACTGCTGGGCACTACTCGCACTGCGGGTGGTTCTTCCTCCTTGATCGAAAGACAGGACAAAAAGTTAGGAGCCCTTCCCCTATTGGAAAAATAGAAGCAAGCAAAGCTTGCCGTGGACATACCCAACTAGCTAAACTCAAACCTCAATATAACGAAACTGGATAATCAGATATATCGGTTATAACGAAGTATCAGTAATGAAACATCGGTTATACATTGACTCTGTGAAGAGCTTGACGGTGCCACAGATGAGTCTGAGAAATCAGGCATGTCCAAAATTTCGGGAGTCCAAGGAATCGGACCTCGACTATACAATCAAACTTCCCTATAACAATGTCACACCTACTCAGAGAATACTTCGTTATATCATAAAATTCATTATAAAAATATATTTGCAACACTATAACAGAGCTATTCTTATTGTTCATTTAATTCATTATCACCAATAATTCATTATATCTAGGTTCATTATACCGAGGCTCGAGAGTAACGCCAGTGCAACGCCCGCATTACCTTGTCCCTGTTTCTCCAGGAATGCCGCCGTACGAGCTCCTCTGTCGTGGTGGTGGTGGTAGTGGTGGTTGTAGTGGTCGTCGTGGCAACAGGTGCTATGCCAATGACAGCTGGCGGTGGAGGCTTGTCCTCTTTTTTGTCTTCAAGCTCCTGCTGGCGCTTGAGCAGCTGTTGCTCGGCTGACTTGACGTCCTCTAGCGTCACGCCCTGCAGGCACGAGACGTGCAGCGTGTGAATTGCAGAATTCTATCTCCATTTGTGAAAAAGGCTTCGAGTGTAAATAGTATGTATACTATCTGACAGTCCGGATATCAGGTAAACTAAGCCTTTCTTTGATGTGTAATTAATTCAAGAGTTTACTATATGAGATGTCAAGGCTTTCTTTTATAGGTGAAAATTCAATTCAAAGTTTCATATACAAAACCCATGTCAAACAAATTATATATGACACAATTTAAACAAAGGAAAAGCGATTTAAAGGAAAATCTTTCAATTTATATTGTCCTGAAAAGCTTTTTAAGCTACATGTTAAGAAAAAGTCACAGCTTTGCTGCAAAGGCGCAGCAAACGCTATAGCGACAAATTGGAAGGTCACGCCCAGAATGGCAAGCAGATCGAAACGTGCCCTCCATTTCTCACGCACAAGTGACGCATGCAACGTACTAACAGACACAGATGAAGGTGAATAAGTATCTCAGTTGTTTTTCACTGCGTCTCAAAAGCGTGCCCTTTTTGAAAACTGAGATTGTGGAACTATTGCAGTGACCTTTGTGCGCCCGGTAACTACAACAGAATCATTCCGATGAAAGCCCAAGGCCAGCCAAGGCATACGATTGTCCCCACCGCGAGATAAGCGAGCGCACGCACGATCGTCCGCTGTGCCCCCTCTCCGCAGGGCAAAGTACGCGTCGGATATGAGAGAGCGCGCTGCTGCGTCGTGACGATCTGGCGACGCGCACTCATTGCACTAACTCGCTGGTAATCTGAAAACACGATAGTTCCCGTCCAAGATGTGCATCACCAGCGGTAAGTGGTAGATATAAATAACTTGCCGTTTAAATGTTGAAGGAGGTGCTCCTTCGTGGCTCAGTGGCTAACGCTTCGCACTCACAATTCAGAGGTCGGACGTTCGATTCTGCGTGCTGGAGTCTTTTTTTGGATTATTTTTCTTTCTTGCATTTGTACATATATGGATACGTATAAATATACGGTGAATGACAGCGATGCCCACGTCAACGCCGATGGCAAAATCCAGCTGAGAGTGTCCATATATTTGCTATCGCAATAAAAACGCCAAAGTTCCCCTTTAAGTTTTTCAGAACAGTGGGAACAAGTAGCCCAGATCATGCACAGTAAAAGCACTTTCTCCTGCTGACAGGTCTCACCTGTGTCGACCGTCTCGTCTCTCGGACTCTCTTTGCATGGGCTTTCCGCTGCGTTTCGGATTCCTCGTCCCGTACTGGCAGCACGAATGTCCTGCTCAAGAAAAGAGAGGCAACAGAAAAAGGAAAAACCACTTAATGAATTTTGCTGATCAATCACTAAATAATAAATATTGAAGCACTTCTCGTACCTCAAACATAAACAGGAATATGGTACAACAGAACCTATTAAAAAGCTTTTCCAAGAGTTTACAAGATCCCCATGAATGGAAGCCATAAATTAAGAAAAGCTTTCTCTACAAAACAACTTCCTATTTCATGTGCATTGTGTAATACGAGTCCATACAAGATTACACCATGCAGGTTTATTCACAATAAATATGGCCCTTAAATAAGTGTCAACAGGTTTTCTGTGAATGAGCAGTCACAGCGAGAACTTACATTATTAGAGGATAATGAAAGCTGTTGAAAAGTGTTAATCTACAAAAGTTGTAAATACATTAGAGGGCAAAATGACAAAACTTGGTTGAATTCACGGGTGAATTCACAACAGATGTCGGTTACCGTAAGTACTGGCAAAAATGCCACGTTTACAAAGCATCTGTAGACACTAGTGCTGGGCTGCCCTGCAGCAAATTTTGTGAGAAACATTGTACCTGTAACTGTTTGCACCTTAATTCCCTTACACAGGAAACAAACGAGATTTCACCAAAGCTACTCAACAATGCACACATAATGGGCAACTTAACACTACCTTTTCGGAGTGTTGTCGGTGGGTGGCGTGGAAGGTGCGGAGCTCGTGACCTCCGTGACCCCGGTGTCAGCGCTGACCCGGAGCGGTTTTCGAAGCGTGACAATTTCCGTTGGCGGTGAGGGCTCTTTCTTCTGCGAGAGGTGAGAGAGATAAAAAAAAAAACAAGACGTCACAAGAGAGACAATCTCTCGAAATTTCCACACACCCAAGTGCAGTATACCAGCACTTGAAAGCATTCAACCTGTGCATGAGGTTAGCCCCAGGATAATAATAATGAAAACAAGAGAAAGCTGAGCTAGTGGGGTACGGACTTTCGATAAAGGCATTGTGCATACATGGACATGAAATAAATTATCAGAACTGCACAAACGCCTACCAACAACTAAAAGAGCCCACTGTGGCACGAAAGAAAGCACAGGAGAGTCTCGGAAAACAAACGCTCTAAAATGAAATAGCTGGTTAAATAAGATTAAACTGAAACAACTGCCTCTAATATGATTGGTTTTATACTTGTGCACCCCTGTTTATCTCTCAGTAAACGAAACTCCTGTCAAAGGAAACATTTTCCTAGTTCTTTCGATTTCATTTAACAGGAGTTTGCTGTAGACACCTAAATTTACCTGTACATGCGCAGACACGCTGCGTATGCGCGGCGATCTATGTGAGAAAGAACTGCACTCAAACTTCATAATAACGAAGCTGCATCTCACACAAAAGTAAGTTTGTTATATCCAAAATTTCGTTATAAGGGTACATTCATAATTAACAGTATCTATTGAAAGACTATTTATCGTTTACTTTATTATAACGGATATTTCATTATATTCACATTTGTTATAACGAGGTTTGAGTGCAGTCAAGCATTTGTTCTTCATGCAAGTTAAACGGCTGGCTCACACGTGTGCTACCACTGCTATCAACTCCAGCTGGTCAGTGGCAGAGCCAGGGAGTGGCAGACTGGGCCAATGCCCCCTACCCCCTCCAAAAAATTTCTATCTATGCCCCTGTGCCAGGCCTCTGCTATTAGTAGGCTTGTGCGAATATTCTAACGAATATAGTACAGTATTCAAATTTGCTTGAGCTCTAATTTAAGTTATTGAAAATTCCAAAGCATTCGCAATAAATGAATAGATGTATAAAAAGCCTGTGTGTAACTTTCAGTAAAGGTGGTTTCACTGCAATACAGAAGTGCTAAGCTGTGAAAACACCTATCCAAAGAAATTCGCATTGTCGCAAGGACCTACTTCAAGGTTAAATGAACACACTACCCTGAAACCGATTCACCATTTTTTTAAGTTTAGAAGCTGGATACCGGCTGATATGCTCTAAGTATAGTCAATTTTAGATGTTACATATTTTGCAGGTTATCATTTGCATTCTTTTAAAAGTCGAATCCTGCTACAATTCAAAGTTGTTTGCACTTTCGTATAACCCCCCCCCCCCTTCTCCAAAAGAAGGCAATTCCACAGGCCTTGTTTCAGTTTAAAAAATAAATACTGTGCAGGTTAGTGAGGTATTACAAATATGCCCACTTTTCTTTATAATATGTCATATGTACTATTCGAATTCGATTCGAAAATCCCTATTCGCTTCGGACTTAAAATTCACTATTCGCACAGGCCTAACTACTAGGGCTGTCTTGATTCTTGTAGCAGTACAACACAGCAAATCAGACACAAAATTTGTCTGCGCAAGCCTGCTCATCGCACAGACAATGATGGTATACTGCATAATGATAATGGTACCATGCAGTGTTTTGAAGTGCAAAGGTCACTGTTACATCTTGGTGAATTAGCCAGCTCCAGTCAAAGCCACAGCAGCAGATGGATCATTTCAGCCGTAAGCATTATGCAGAATGTGAAATGTTGGAGCAAAGAAATGCTAGAAAATTCTTGTGTGCTGGCTTACTGCCCTGAGCCTCACAAATTCAATGCTTTCACTGTGTAAAACTCAAGATAACTAGAGCAAACCAAGAGGGCTCCCTTTATTTCCTTTTGCCGAGAGTCAAGTCCTGCCAGTCTTTTCAAGGCTGTTACGATATAGCATAGGTACAACTGGGGGCGCTTAACCAAAGTGGAATCTTGTTGCAAGCGACTTCCAAATTTGTTGAGCAAAAGCAGTAGAGGCTGGTGTTACCACTTAACAAGAGCTTAAAAAAAATTTGGTCTCAATTTCAAACTAGACGTAATAGAAATGCATTGGTATTACGCTCACAGTCTTGACCATCTACGCTTGCTGATGATGAAGACATTAAGCAAGCAAATGCATGAGGCTTCAAACAAACTCATACACTTCTTGGCACAGTATCTCCCAATATGAGCACGCTAAATCCACCAGAGTTCAAAGGCGAGATAGTGGTTGCTTTCTCACCTTGACTTTCTTTCCTAAAAGCACTAGCTCCTCCTCGCGACTCTTTCCTTGATAAAAACACATGGATAATGTCGTCACTAGGCATTCAGTACATGAAAGTGTGGTCCTATTTGGTAGCATACTGTAATCTTCGCTGGCACAGCGTAAAATGAACAAAACAATTTGAAATCAGTTAATCACCCATGATATTCATGCGAGACAAGGCAGAGCAGGCACGTAACTGCATGGCAAAGCAGGGCGGAAGACGATTTGCAACTTATTGCATTTACTCGCGTAATGAACCCGCTCACATAATGTACCCACCCCCCAAATTGATTCCTGCGAAAAAAATCTACTTTTTCATGTACCTGTTCATTTTATTTCGGTGAGATAACCAGTGCTGTTGATGATCGAAACAATGTTGAATTACGCTATTATAACAGAAAAGAACAACGCAATAAAAGTAAAAGCATAGTTTAAGAACCATGCTATTGTAACAACAATAGCAAGGTTCGACCCATGTTTCGAACCCTTCCTCCGACAGTTGCGAGCAGCGCAAGCACGCACGACGCCAATCAAAGTTTAAAAGTCGTGCGATTTGCGGCAGAGTGCCATCTGTTGAGCACAGAAGAAACCTCTTTGCTTATAGCGCCACGCAAGCACAGCGGCATGAAAACAAAGCAAAAAACAAAGCACAATCTGGTGCGACGGCACGGTTCACCCGCAAAGTTGCAGCGTGCATGCGCCGACATTGTTGGACGTCTTTGTAAACATCGTTGAACATCTGCTGCGCAGGGCACGATCAGCCGTTTTAAACTTAAAGTTGGTCGAGTATGCGCAGGAGCATGGGAACCGAGCGGCTGGATGACACTTTGGCATCAATCCGTGCATGTTCCTTACAGGAAAAAAGAGCTTTGAGCTACAGAAAAAAAGACAAGGACAGTTTCTTCTTGTGGAGAGCAAAGTTCTCGAATAGGGACTCCATATTGCTGCCACTAAATGGAAGGCCAGCATCAATTGGACAGCGAGTTTCTTATTACTGTCATGTGAAATTTTTGACGTTATAACTCCCGTGACTTTTTTTTTGCTCCCGTGTAATGACCCCCCCCCCAAATCGAAGGCAACTTTTCTGAAAAGAAATATGGTTATCATTATCATTAGACTAATCGAGAGATTATTTCCCCATGACTTCACGTTGGCAGACTTGCTGGTGTCAAGAATCGTGCCGAAAAGATGGGAAATGCAGGAGAGAATAACGCACTAGTCCTGTGTATTTATGGTTTGATTTGATTGTTGGGGTTTGACGTCCTAAATCCACCATATGATTATGAGAGACGCCATTTTCAGGAGTTGCTTAGGAGGCCTTTACAAACACTCACCTTGTCGTCGATGGTAATGGTTGCTACGGTGACGGGCGGTGACTCGACGGTCCTCGGGGCCAGCCCGGGGTGGGCGACGGTCACCTCCGCGGAGACCGGCTCCGCGTTGTCGGGACTTGGCCGCCGCAGCCTCCTCAGCGCCAGCGTCACCTCCTCTTCCTTCTCCGCCTGTGGCTTTGGCTTGTTGTCGGCTGCAGTGTCGGCGTCCAGGTATGCGTTGCTCACTGCTCGGTTCACCTCGTTCTTTCGCGCCACCTGTCGCTCCTCGGGTGAGCTTGGGTGCAGTTGGATCTCCCGCTCTTCTGACTTGCGTTCGACTGTGCAGGAAAAATGGCCGCACGAGTTTAGTTATAAAACTCCTTTCAATTTTAAGGGCACAAAAGAAAAAAATTACTTTTCTCATATTAGTAGATAACTCTTTCACAATTCCAGAATCACTATGCTAGCTGCGAGAACACACTCGGTAAGCGAGATAGTGCGCAAAAAAAAGAAAATACGGGTGGCGACGCCACCTTTAAATTGAAAACGAACTTGAAGTACATGTACACAGTGTTCGTTTGACGGCACTGACCCTGGAGCTCGACTGTCCATCACATGTCTATCCACCAGAGTCAGAATATCCTTGTCAACTCAAGGATATTCTGGCACATATTTAATATGAGAACTGTACGTGTGAATGATAGCAATGCTGTTATCATTGAAATGCATACTGCCCATACAAGCATCGGCAGTCGCAACGTTTCGCACATTCCTACCGTGGGGACACTCCTTTTTATATTTTTTTATATTCTTGATTAATTTTAACAAAACTGGCCGAGTTTAAGCATAGTTATGTGTAAATTTTGATTATTAAGTTTTTTGTTTAGTAAAGTGTAATTTTATAAATATCACACATTTTATGTGCTATTTGGGAGCAAGGTTTTTCCTAAACAAAGAGAGTTACAATGTAAACCTGCAATTACAGTAATTGTATGTACTAAAGAACTGTATGTTCAAAGCAAGAATGTATGCCCTAAACCTATATGAAAGAAGTTACGGTATGATAACATTCATGGGTGAGTTGATATCACATAAGGATTTCACTTATGACTGCTCAATATTCCCCATGCTTTGTTCAAATAGGTATAGAACATCTTTTTTTTACAACATACAATTCTCATTACACATTATTGTAATATGCTAATGCACTCCCTAACTTTCTTTGTTCAGGAAATATACTTGCTCCCATAAAGGCACCTGAAACATCTGAAATTTAGAAAACTGCATTGTATGAGGAAAAAAATCTGCATGTTAAAAAATCTGCCCGCAAATATTATAAAAGCTCTGCAAGCTTCATTAAAATTCATCAAAAAATTTCAAAGAAGCAAATTGACAGAAAGAAGCAGTGAAAAATGAACACAGTTGACGATGGCAGCAAAACCGCACCACGGTTGCCTGAACTTTCTCAATCTTCTTGACCCCAACGCAAACTTCTTAATCTCATCTGCCCACCAAACTTTCTGCCTCATCCTGACATGTTTACTTCTCTTGGAATCCAGTATGTTAATGACCGGCAGTAATCACGCCTATTTGCTAAATGCCCTGCCAATGAAGATTTCCTTTTGATTTTGCCTAAAATGTCCTCAACGCACATTTGTTCTGTGCTCTGTTTTTTTTTCCTTAAAATTACATCTATCTTTTCCTTTTCATGGTCGCAGCACACGAGTCAAGAGCTGGCAGCCAGAGAGAACGTGAGAAAAATGTGGAGAGACTGACCCTCTTCGTCGACCTTGGCGAGCAGGAGTTGCGACTCGATGGCGGTGCGCTCGGCCGAGGTGTCCTTGACCACGACGCTGTTCTTATCGGCGAGGCTCATGCGCGTGACAGACGTGCGGCGCTTGAGGGGCGGCGGCCGCTGTGCTTTCCGCTCCAGGATCTCCTGGATTTCGGGACGCTCCTTCTGCATCTGCACAGGGCGATAGAAAATGGTAGGAAATCGATCAATACAAAAATAACTTTTTGGTTGTGTTCAAAGGCAGCACAAATATGCAAAACTTTAAATTATGGTGTTTACTACCATAAGGTATCGCTACAAAGCAAGCCATAGTAGAAGACACCATATAATGTTTGACCACCAAGAGTTCATAACGTGGCGAAAAAAAAAAACGATTAAGGCAGCTCACACTAGTGGCCCCCACTAAAGAAACAGTGGATCTGGTGACTTTCCCTTCCACCTTAATGCCCTCCTCCCTCCTACTACCCTTTCCCATGCCCTCACTATACTATACCTGGTCTGTTCGATTCGCCTGCACCACACGAACCAGTTCCTGAAGTGACTAGTGGCCCCCACTAAAGAAACAGTGGATCTGGTGACTTTCCCTTCCGCCTTAATGCCCTCCTCACTCCTACTACCCTTTCCCATGCCCTCACTATACTATACCTGGTCTGTTCGATTTGCCTGCACCACACGAACCAGTTCCTGAAGCGCTGCACTTTGCCATTTGTTTCAGCAGTGCAGCAATGACGACCTCTGAGCCATGCCATTCGTTTCAAAGGGTGCAGGAGAGGTGAAGCACTGGTTCACGATTTTCCTACAGCTCCTACGCTGATGGAGCCAGCTTGGTGCAGCCGTGTATGTGCGTACAAAGCCAAGCAGAGGACCCAGCATTTAGGCATATACGCTGTACGTGCCTGCCTACACTCAATCCTCATCATAACAAGGCTTCATCCTACACGAAAATAAGTTCGTTATATTCAAATATTCATTATAACGGTTTATTTGTAATACTATATCTACTGCAAGACTATTTTTCACTTACTTCGTTATAAGTGATATTTTGTTATATCCAGTTTCATTGTGTAGAGGTTTGAATCTATACTAACGCGATGTGTTTTGCCGAGGTGTTTGTGCGATTTGCCATCAAGGTCAATGTTAGTAGACTGGATAAATTAGGAGAACAGATATTAACTCTGCCCTTTGTCGGTGCCTACTCGTCATTCGTTTCTGGCGTCGCACTGTGCCTGCACCGCTGAACCCGCGCTGCATAATTTCATGCACTGTCGTGAACTAGTTCGGACTGGTGCAGGTCAATCGAACGAACTCACTGCACAACACTTTCGTTCAGCCTCTCATGATCATCTCCATTTTTCACTTGCTTTCCCTCCTCCTCATTCTCACTTCCATTTGCCATTCACTTGCTGAACCACACAATACAAAGCTATGCCATATTTTGCCCTCTCCCCTCCTCCTATTCTTCCTGCGCACAGTGTTGCTAGGCAACGCCATAATGTAGCAGAGTTTCTACACACACCAAACAAATGCAACAAATGAATCTCCACTAAAAAAAATATATGCCTGTTTTTTTTTTTTTTTTGGTTCCTATTGACATCATCAATATGCAACCACCATAGCTCATAGAAAAACTTCTGCCCCCATGTTTCCCAATGCAGTGCTACAGCTTCTAGTTTATTTGGTTGCACTGTAAAATAGCATAAAAGATAGACGTGCACATGCTGGACAGAAGATACAAGCACTATAACTTTTTTAGCACGAACCAATGAGGTACATCGTTTGCTGTACGAGTTGTAGCCCCTGCGCCATCTGTCTAGCCTGTGTCCCTATCATTTGCGCTATTCTACAAATTAACCACAGTGGAGTTCCCACTTCATACCTGATTGTGAAAACAATATAGTTGATTGATTGATTGATTGATTGATTGATTGAACTCACACTATCCTGCTTCTTGCGAAGCTCCTCCAGCACAGGCAGCACTTCGGGGTCGGCCAGGTCGAAGCATGTCTGGCCCACGTAGTTGGCAGAGCCATGTTGGCCAGGTTCTCACAGAGGAGGCGACAGGCCGCTTTCTGTCCCCAGTGCGCAGCGGCGTGCAGGGGCGTCCAGCCATCCACGTCCTGGGCGTTCAGGTCCACACCGGCCTGAATTAGCACACTGCAGAAACAGAAAAGAATAAAGATTATAATACAAAGATTCAGATGCCCTTGCCCAATAGGAAAAACAGGGGCAAGCCAGTGAGCATGCTTGACATATTACTTTCTTTTTTTTTTTTTATCGAATCGCGCAAAACTCCCTCCTAGCAGTTTCCTTCCTCCACGACGGCGATCGGAGCTTCATTCACCTGCTCAGTAGCGCTACACTTCAGTTGCTACAGGCAACAATGACGGTTATGCATTTATATCCTGGCAACAGTAAGATGTGCCTGAAACTTGCCATCGGCAACAGGCAGCACTGACTGACACTCCCACGCATGCACATACATACCCCATAAAGTGGACAAGGGGATAGCCGCCGTGGTAGCTCAGTTGGTAGAGCATGGAAAATGCATTACTCGAAGGTTACAGATATGGTTCCTGCCCACGGCAAGTTATCGTTTTGTCCACTATTCTTTCTTCAAAATTGCATTAAATTACTTCTATCAACATCCCCTACACTTTCCTTGGCATAATTGTCTGTCAGTTCTCATTGGTATTGCATCTAAAAAGGAAAACGAGCCCTTAAATTTACCACCTTTCCTACAAGACTACCTAGACTCACAGCCAGAAGCTAGTATGGGGTTAAAAGAAACTGTCATGAGTGAGAGGGCGCGAGGCACGTGCCAACTGCTGGAATGTGGTGGTGTGTGAGGACGCGAGGGTGCACATATGCACCACGTTCCTTGAGCAGGATTGGTCGGAGGAAAAGCCTGCGGCACATGACCCGAGCGGTGGTAATAGAATCCTTGGAAGATGAGGTGTCACTGAGTTGTGGGGCTTCGAGCTGTGAAGATCAGGAAATTAGCATTGCTACGGCGACCAAAGCATGGTTCTGAATGCTGACATGGCAAGAGGCCCAGAAAGTGGCCATCGACCTCGAAAGACTCAGAGTGGGGAGGCCCAGACTTGCTACACCCTTTCACAGCAGTTCCCAGTGGGCCTACAACTCTTTCCGCCTTGTGCCAGGACAGTTGCAGTCCCCACCACAGTCATCCGAGTGACCCGTTGTTAGCTGCGCAACATGAAACGGTGCCATTGACGAGTTAGGCTTAATCAAGCTGGGCTGAAGATGCCGACGACGACTTGGACACCGGCAATTAAGACAAGTGGCTCGTTGGGTGGGAGCACCCAACGAGCCGGGAGCGACCGTAGGAGCTTGCCGAGGACGTCAACAATGGACTCAATGAACTGTCGCCATGGCAAAAGGCACGAAGACAACGAGGGGAACTGTATGATAGTTCGACTACCAAGATGCCATATTGGCTAGCTACAGGCTAGGGCTAGAGTTGAGCCGAGTTGTATGTGCTTGTGCATGCTACGTTAATTTCGAGTGTTTTCTTTTCCCATTTTGCATGATGAAGTGTTTGCCTTGCCACCAAGGTCTACAGTCTCTCTCTTAGTCCATCTTTGGCAAGCAGGTAAGATTAACTGTGATACAAATGTACAGGCAAGTGAGTAAAACAAACAAAGCATGTATCAGATTTTTTTTTCGTGATGTAAGGTAACTAAAATAAGAGATTTACACTGCAAATTTTGTAGAAATCACAGTGGAAATTGTGGGGATTAAGGCTAGCCCGCTGCCTTTGCGCGGGCTTTGCCGCCTTTTTTGCCGTTCTCATGTCCCAACATGTCGTCTCCCCTCCTTTGCTGCCTGCCGCGCTGGGGGAGAGGAGTGACGTTTAACCCCCTCACCCGGTAGCGGATGTTGACTGTGGCGCTGCGCGCAGAGCTTCCCGAGAGGTTTTCGCGCGCTACGTCGGTAGCGGACAGCCAGAGACTCTCTGGGACTTTAAACGGTGAGCCACGCAATCTTTTCCGTCCGTCGACTCCCGTCGCTCGGGGCTCGTCGGACTTCGCTGACGGCGCCTCGCGCCCGAGGCGAACGCTCACTTTTTGTTGCCCCACTGCGTACGCACGGCCGAAGGGCGGTACGGTGTCCTAGTGCGTGGCCTAGCTACACCGACCCATCTCCCTCTGAAGCCAACGCGAGCGCCTTTGCCCTCACTCGAGCAACCGGGCCTTGGTCCCGGTGTCTTCGTGGATCACCTTTACCGCGGAGACGTGCTCGTGGCACCCTGTGTAGTACTTTGCGCCCGTGGCGTGGATAAGCCTAATTGCTTTTTCCGTCGCACCCTTTTGCAACGGGCTCTACTGCGTTGGGTGTTGCCACAATAAAGTGTTGCGACTTTGAGCAGTATCGTGTTCTCGCCACGGCAACGGTTAACGCGTGCCCTGCCGCTCGCTAAGACCGGACCCACGCTAGTGGCCGTACTCCTTCGGGATACGTGTACACCACAAAATGAAAACCTTTATTACAAGAAAACGAGAAAGAGCAGAGAACAGATATCCAGAAGAAATATTACACTGAAACTTTGGCGAATAGCAAAGTGAGAGCAACAATCACCAGCACATCAAACAATACAGAAACTTTATGCCTAGTCACAAGCGTCTCACTGAAAAAAAATATATATACATCAGCTGCTTTTGAAGGCTGCTTCCCTAATTACACATTCTCTGGGAGAGTTTCTCGAAATTTTGTCCCAACAAACTCTAATATACACTCATTCCTCATTATAGCACAGTTGCATCTTATAAGAAGATAAGTTTGTTATAACCAAATATTCGTTATAAAGGTACACTCATAACACTTATCTATTGCAAAACTGTTTTTAATTTACTCTGTTATAATCAAAACTGTTATGAATGGTTTCTTTATATCAAAGTTTGAGCATAGTTAACCCAGATATAAAGAATCCGACAAGAATCACAAGAAGTTCTACACACTGGTAATTCTATACAAGATATCTCAAATACTGAAAATATGTTTACACTATTGTTTAATCTACGCGATAGTTCGTTGTAGGTGGGGTTTCACTTCAATCGCTTGGCATAGGCATCACTTGTGCCACTTTGTTTCTGCTCGTGCTCTTCGCGCAGATTCAAGCTCAAGAGAGGGCCTTCATTGGGTTCACGCTGCCACGTAGCAATGTGTATGCACGCAAGTGAGAGAGAGAGAGAGACCGACCTCATGACCTTGAGGTAGCCCTTGGCAGCCGCCACGTGGAGGGAGGTGGCGCCCGTCTTGGGATGCACCTTGTCCGGCACCCGGTTGTTGTTTAGCATCTGCTTGGCATCCTCCAACATGAGCCGCTCCTCCTCGTTGCGAGCCGCCTCACAATCCACGTCTGCGTGCAGCGGAGGAGGTAAACAGTTGGTCATTTTAGGTTAGGTGGCTTTAAGTTAGGCTAGCTTAAGTTAGGGCTAGTCCAAATTGCTGGCAGTCAACATCGGAGCAATTTCACGGCCCCTAAGGTTTGAAAACAATGTCACTGTATACAAGTGAAGGAGGGGTTCTCACTTGACTCAGCTAGGATGAAGTTACAAGCTGCTACTCTTCTTCTCTTGAAGGTATTAACAACAATATATAATTGTTGGTGTTTTACATTATAGATTTTACATTATAGATAAACAAACACTTCAATCAAGACGATCCAGATCCCATAGGGGAAAACGGGTGAAATGGCAAAAACAATGCCTCCCCCTTCTTCCACACTGCATTCTCTTCTATTCAGTAAACAAGCGCATGAAAGAAACACAAAGACTGCGCCCCAACTGCAGCATTTCTGGCGGCGGCACCCTTTCGTTGCCTCCCGGAGCATGTCGCTCGTCGCCCTGACATAACAGTGACAACGTAAGAAGACTGCCGACGAATACGGGAAAATAAACAAAAGATCAAGAGAAATGAGAAAGTAAGTGTGCCACCCATTGTGCCAGAATGTAGGAGAAAGAGAGAAAGAGCAAAAGAGGACACGAAGCATGAAAGCTGGGGAACACCCTCTAACCAGAGGTTTAGGTTGCCACTACTGTTGTCGAGTTATTCTTGGCAAAGGCTGGAGAATGTGTGGGTGTTAACGCGCGCAGGGAGACCAAAGAGGTGCCAAAAACCAGGAATATAAACACACACACACGTGTGCGTGTGCATGTGTGTGTGTTCTTCTGTACAAGAGCTACGTCAGACCAATATTAGAGTATGGGTGCACTGTGTGGGATCCTCCCACAAATGCCGATTGCGACAAGCTTGAGCGAGTTCAGAACATAGCTGCAAGATATGTTATCCGTAGCTATGAGAGAAACCTTAGCATTACTGCTACAAAGGAAACATTAAAATGGGAGCTTCTAGAAAAAAGAAAACAAATTTTGCGCTTGAAGCTTTTTCACAATATATATCATGGCCACATTAGAATTGACCGTAATCAGTATATTCTTCAGCCCCATTATATATCAAGACGAACAGATCATGAGCTCAAGGTTAGAGAATATAGCTGCAGGGCTAATCTTTTTAAAGGCACTTTTCCCCAAAACTATTTCTGAATGAAATCGTCTGCCTGCTGACAAGGTCAGCATAATATATACTGAAGCTTTTACGGCCACTCTTTGACATTTCATTCTGTCTTCAGCTGCAGTCGAATTTTATGCAGTGTTTAGTTCGTATCACATCATTTTTCTACATTTATGTTTGTACAGTATAAATTTCATTTTTGTTTTCTCTCTTCGTCTGGGTTAGCTGATCTTTATGAAATTCATGTGCATTGACAACAATGTATGCCGCTGTTTCTCCTTAGTTTTTCACTACCAATGTTCTTGAAATGCATGATTTAAGAATTCTCTGTGTAACCCCCCCCCCCCCCCCCGCCCCCTGTAATGCCTAAATGGCGCAGTGGGTACGAGTGTAAATAAATGAAAAATATTTTTTTAGGGAGATTACAATAAAGAGGTTGTAGAAGTGGGCCTGATTGGAATGAAGTTCACATTAAGTCGACTTTCAAACACAGTAGGCCAGGTAATGGTAGTGCGAGGATGACTGCGGTTATGCCAGGATGCTTTTTCTGTCACACTGTTGCACATACAAGGGCTCTTCCCTGGGACCTAAGCTCGTACACGTACAGTGACAGAACATTCTGTTGGGTCGCACCGGATCGGTCAAGGCCCATCTGACGGTCAGTCATGAAAGCAGCATGTGGAAAAGGCAGTGCTGTAAATCATTTTGTCATTTGCTAGACAAAGAAGGGGCACAGAACGAACCAAGACAGTGTCCCATCCTATAGAACAGGTGAATAACGATCACTAACCGTGTATTGGATCGGAACGTGAGCAATCATAATATGCGACACCACCTTTGACAAACTATGCCCCAAATGTTGATATTCAGCTATAATAATGCCATATTTCCTCATGCGTTTAAAGCTTTTCAGAATTCTCTATACTGCCCTTCAGCAGACAATCACACATGATGAAGCATTCTTCAGGGGTGCTTCTTCAACTATACTAGCTATTCGCTCTTTCTCATGGTGGCACGCTTTTTTCTATGATTGAATGCGTACAATACATTGTGTCTCCTAGAGACCTAGCGAAAGAACACGCATGCATTATTAATCAAAATGGAACAACATACCATGCCGGTGCACTAATATAGCAGATACCCTTGTTGATTTCTGGCACCAAACTTTTTGGCAGAGTCAAGGGTGAAAGGTATTTTGGAAAGGCAAAAAAATCTTGGATTTCAGCGTCCACTCACTGAGCCTGTCAATCTCGGCTTGAAGCAGCTCTTCCATCTCCTCAGACTCGGCGATGTCAATGGGAAGGTCGCCATCGTTGTTCACTCGGGAGACATCCGCTCCATGCTCAATCAGGTACCTGCAATGCAATTTAATAACAGTGATTGTTGGGGTTTTACATCCCAAATCCACAATATCATTATGAGAGACACTGTAGTACAGGGCTCTTGAAATTTTTACCCTCTGAGGTTCTTTAAAGGGACACTATAGGCAAATATTGAGTCGATGTTCATTGCTGAAATAGCAGTCAGAAAACCTCTTTTGTGCCAAGGAAGAGCTTATTTTGGAAAAAACAAAACCACATTTTAGTGGTCCGTGTCGCGTTAATGCACCTCAAATTTCCTGCCTCAAGAAGCGGACCGACTCGCGTCATTGTTACCGTGCACAACATTTCCCGGCTTTACTGCGCGGCCGCCAACACTTTCATTAACAGAGCAAAACTAGCGGGAGCCACAGCAGCAACAACGGCCATTGAGCAATTTCCTGTCATGGCCTCCAAGATGGCAGGCGTGCTCGGTTCAACTGGGCCTCACTAGATGGTATGACTTGTCCGGTTTATCCAGGCGAAAATTGAACTTTTGAACCACTTGCTCCATTCCCCATAGCCACATACGGCACTTCTTTTTTCCATGAATCAAACAGAAACGAACAAGCAGGATTTTATTACGTCTCTTGATGCAGAGAAGGTTCGTTATTTAGTACAGCTAGTTTGACCACTAATGATTAACTGTAGGTGGTAACTCTGATGTCATCGGGCTCATTCTGCGAATCTCCTACTCGTCGAGCATTTAGCTTGATTTCTCGGTAAGTAGTGCACTGCTGTTGATAATACTCTTATTTTAGATGTTGTCATACATTGAGCTGTCACTATGAAGTAAATTGTTATTTGACTTTAGTGTCCCTTTAAATAGAAAGAATGGTCATACTAGCACAGCCCTCCGTTATTTTAAACCATATCAACATGCAAGCAGACAACAATGCAAACTCATCGTTTAGGAAGTTTAAATGGCTCCAGCCAAGTTCGTAAAAAGTCCGACATTTCGGGACCTATTCGGTTACTTCCTCGGGAAATGCCTGTGTCATGCTCTCGACGAACTAGGCTGGAGCCATTTCAACTTTCTAAATCTTCTGTCCAGGAAGGCAGATTCCCGGCGAAATGTTTAGATTTAAACTCATCGCTTCATGGCGAGCATTGGCACAGACAACACACAGACACGTCATTTGGCTTCCACACGCTTTCCAACAGAAGCCAAGGCAGGAGTACTCACCTGGCCACGCTGACAAAGCCACAGGAGGCCGTAGCATGGAGCGGCGTCCAGCCCTCGTTGTCGCCGAGGTTGAGGTCGCAGCCATGCTCCACGAGGAACTCCACCATCCCCATGTTGTCGTCGATGCACGCCTGCACACAAGAAATGATGGTACACGTTCCGAGGTCCAGAAACCAGTGAGAGCTTAGGCACATTACTAATCTGTAAACCTTGACAAGATGCATTAAGACCGATAGTCTATAAACGTGTGAAACTTACGTGATTTCATACCAAGGTTCTGGAGAACAGATTAAGAGAAAGTATAAGTGTTAGAATTGATTACAGAATACTTATTAGCAGTTAACTTCAGTAACAAAATAAATATTTATAGCTGCTTTATTTCTTCATAAACCAAGTTCAATGGCCCACTCATATTACATGCGCAATCACAAGAAAGAATTTCAATACGAGGTCATTGGTATAAACATATTCAGAAAAACAGCACTGCTTGAAAATGCAAAAAGGAAAAATACGCTGTCCTCTGTCTTAAATGAAACTTTGTCAATCACTAATGTTGATGAATGCCTTTGTTTTCATCATCTGAGCCACATGCGCTGACAACACGCATCCCCCTCTCCTTCCTTTTACTTACTGTATATTAGTGCACACACAATAAATATGCTCTTGACAATCAATGCCTGTCCTCGTGTTTTTTTTTTTCCTTCATGATAGACATGCAATAGTTATTTGCTGGTACAGAGCGTTCCTAAAGAAAGCAGGAAAAATACTTGAGTTCCTGCAAAACACTATGTCCCATGTCTCGTTAAAGGGCAACTCCGGCGATTTTTCGAGGCCAATAAATCTCAATGAATTTCACTGGGTACTTTCATTTGCCCGTTTGTGCCATTCATGCCAAATTGCAGGCTTGAGAGTCTCGCAGATTCTTTTCAAATGAATTTTACAGCTTGCCTCGAAACACTCACCTCGCTTTCCAGAATTAATAGCAACATTGTGTGTGTGACATTAATTTTTGCAAAGCAGAAGTGATGGAGCTGGTGTGCCACTGCAACGTCTTCTTGTCTGCTGTAGATAATGTGGGCTTGGTCAGCGCTTCCTTGGTTGAGCGTGCAATTTCCTTTTCTGTGTTGGTGGGCGTGCAAGTGGTGCCAAGTGGTGTTGTGTTGTGGGTGGCACACTATTAGCGTAAGCCACATATAAGCGTTTTAGCCAATTACTGCGGGCACAAACTTGCATGGCCTGGACAAGTCGTGCCATCTGGCAGCGTTATGCACAACCAGACAGGTTCTAGCAAAGTATTACATCATACATAGAAGCGCACTCGGTTGGGTTTCAGTTTCGGTATTGCATTTTTTTTACTAATTGAAAATTATTTTTGAATTTGTTTAGCATTTCAGCTATTGGGCGTGGGACAAGAGTCAGCTACATAAAAGCACCATTATCCTGATTTGGTCAAAGAATCGCCGGAGTAGGTCTTTAAACATTGTATTGCCTTCACCAACACTGGAGTTTGTAGCAAAATATTAACGCAATAGCGTTAAAGAGCTCATTTCGCAAAAATTCCGGTGTCGGCGTTGTTGGTTGTCAGCGAAAATTCATCATCTTATGTGCGACCAAGAAATTGAGAATAATGCAAATAAAATAAATAAATGACAAAAAAAAAACCCTGGAGGAGAATAGAGACCGAACCAGAGTGGTTGGGGTCGGAGTGAGGATTGAACCTGGGTTGTTTGCGTGGGAAGCGGATGTTCTACCACACGGCCATGCCTCTGCTTGCTAAAACAGTGAAGAGAACTTCCGCTGCTTGAAAATGCACTGAAAGTAGCTTTCATAGTTCACAAACACATGCGTCCTGTATGTATACTACACAATGCCACATGAAATATTGGAGTAATAAAGCGCGGTCAAAAGTTCATTGCCAACGGCGTCAGAATATATGGTTGTCATAATAGCTCCGTGGTTCATGGCTGGTACCCCACTACAAAAAGGCACACACGCTACTGCGCCTATTCCCTTGAAGTCACGTAGTGGGTGCATAGCAAATTCGAATATCTTTCATACACTACAAATAGGATGTCGATATCGCATTCAACTCCTAAAATGAAGCTTTTGGGTCCCCTAATTTTTTTTTTTTTCAACTACGAAGGACAGAAGGAAACTTTAGGCAACAAGAATATTTAAAGGAGCCCTGCAACACTTATTGAGAATGGTCAGAAAACACTGCCGATCAGTAGTAGAGGCTCCCGACAACACGCGAGCCAAATATTATAACGAAGGACGCGGCCTGGAATTCACAATAAATTATCAAAGTCAGCTAAAAATTGCTTTCTCTTCTCTCGACAAATCACGCAATATACCCAAAAATCACGTGCGAATTACCCATTTATCAGCCATTGGCTGAATTGAACATGGCGCGCTCGCTCGTTACAGAGATCGTTGCAGGAGGCCACTACTTGTCCACGTAAACGCGCGCGATCACACTGAAAAAGCCGTGCATTCGAAGAAAAAAAAAGTGCTGAAGGTCACGGGGCACGCGGGATGTTTCTCTATGGACCTGCCATCCCTCCTTGCTTAGGTTCCAGCGCTTTCACCGGGACGACAGACGAGAGAATGCGATTGCAACGTGTGACAAATCTTTGCAACTCCGCTTGCACTGAACGGATTCTTGAAATTTTTGCGGCGTTGAATTCGTGAGGCAATAGGCTCTTCCAGTAAATTCATTCCACAGTTACTCTAAAATGTGTTTCAAGGCACCTTTAATTTACCATAAGCTCAGCATTCGCAGTAAAACTTACCAAAAACTTGCAGGATGCTTAAGCTTTGCCTTCAGGAGTAAAACAAGATAGTATAATAAGGCCCTGTTGATCCTTTGCTTGATCGATTGCTAGCATGGCTTCAGTTCTTGGTGCACGACTCAACCATGTTGTAAAGAAACGAACAGTGCACCTAGCACTGGCCATTTCGAACCGTTCTACAATGCCTACTACACCATAATTCTTCCTCTTGCAAATCATTGAAGGGCCAGCTAGGAGTCTGTAAGGCAACACACGATCTATGCTGCTGCTCACTTTATTAATGCTTTTGCAGCCAACAATGATTAAATATATCTGAGCGTTTTGCAATGGGTGGGTGCTTTAAAACACGCACCCGTAGCACAATTCACATGTTTGACGTCCGTCGCGATTCTATGCTTCTGCCATGCAATATTACATGCGTTACGAGACTCCTTCTGCTACATGACACTCATATAGTGTTTTTTTTGGGGGGGTCAGTATCAAGCAATAGCATGGCTCTGTGGTAGCCACACAGACAGCCTGAATTCAATTCTCACAGCAAACAAAAATTTTCACTCATCTCATTTTTGCATCCTTCTACATTGTTCAGTCATAGGCAAGAGGATTTTTTACTCACAATCGTCGACGCCAACATCAATTCTGACACTGGTACTTACGCGAAACAAGCTCTTTATTGCCAACACGTTAATATTGACCATAAATGATTAAAGTAAGTCGCAGATCTGAACCAGGACACTGTGTAGCAGAGGGTTCCGTATTATACAATCGACTCTCAGTAAACGGAAATCTGTTAAACGAAACTACTGCTTAAACGGAACTATTGCCTCTGCAATGCTTGGTTTCGGGCTTGTATTCTGCACCCATGTTCACCCCTCAGCAAATGAAACTCCTGTTAAATAGAACACATTTTCCCGGTCCCTTCAGGTTCCGTTTGCTGAGAGTCCACTTGTAGTGTGCATGCAAATGCACACATGAGTAGGTGCGGTTCACATTCTTAGAGTCCACTAATGCAGTCACGAAACAGTTGAAAATGAAAACCACACAATGTCCAGCATGTAAATGATCATCATAATCCAGTTTGTGACGCAAGGAGCTGCTTTGTAACTAGGCATCCTTTGCACTAACGAATTGAAAGGAAGATTCATTAGTACTTCCTGCATGTGTGATATGATTAAATTCCAATTAGCAGACAGCCAAGTGATATCTGGTTTTGCTAATATGTGGTATTAATGACATGAAGACCATAAGTAAGGGTATAAAGCAGCAGTCAAAACCTTACAATAGTGAACTTACTTCCAATCACTTAACAACAGTATAGAGGCTTCTTTAAAGCTTAATGGTAATAGAATGCTTAAAAATGTAGAAGTTTTAAATATATAATGCCCATGGTATGTACACCTATTCAGTCAACGTGGAGTATAACAGCTTCATTTCATTTCTGCCCAGTACATTAATTCAACCTTCCACAGATGTCTAAACTGCCTTATCCTGAGGTTTGACATTTCAGGCTGAATAAATTGAAAAAACAGCACGTGGTTGAATGACAGAACATGGGAGAGGCCTTTGCTCTGCAGTGGGCGTACCCAGGCTGATGACGGCAATGATGCTGACGATGAAATTGAAAACTACATCAGCTGGCATTTGGGAGCATTAATTTAATACTGTTGGGACAGGGCTAAGTTTTGCAATGGTGATAAGATAAGCTAGAAATGAAATTAATGCATGGCATCAATGTGACCCGGCAACACAAGTACTTGGGAGATGTGTGTTAAGCTGCAGTTAGGTACACCACACTGCACGAGAAATGCTCAACTGTTTCCAGCGCCGATATCACAATGCGCTAGCCAAAACGTCAATTTTTTATCATTGAATGAACCTTACCAAGCAACTCTTGCAAAGAGAATATTAGTAGCATTTGTGAATTTCGATGCACTGATTCGAAGGCATTAAAGTCTCATTACGTGAGTATGCCCGCCTCTTGTTTCGTTCTGGTACTAGTCGAGTGTGCTTGTCCAACGCACCGGCACTATGCGCACATGGCCCCCAGAACAGCAGCACGAGACTCCTCCTTGTTCGCCCGCATGCAAACGCGCGATTCTCCGCAGAACACGCAATCAAAAAATAGCAGCCGAGCCCAACACCCGAACCAACCTCCTCATCGACGACCCCTTCAAGAACGCATTCACCTAAAACAAACCATCAACCCAGGCTTCGACAACAACTTCCTGATCCCCCGTACATCCTCAACGAAACAGCAGGCCAATCGACGACGAAAGACAAACAGCAAAAGAGAAGGAAACAAGCGAACCAGACAAGGAGGGGGTGGACTGGTTACACAA